CATCTACTTGTAATTTTGTTCGCTTTTTTACTTTTTCTTCTTGATTGGCTATTTCTAAATATAATTTGTATACCTTTACTAACACTAAACTTCACCGACAGCACATTTTACCAACAGTAAAACTATTTACAATAAATTTCAACAATGTACAACTTTAATATATACACTATATTATTAATATAAAAAAAAGATTGGAATTAGTATTTAGTAAAGAATTGAACTACTTATGCAAGAAGAAAAAAAATGAAATGTGATACTTGCCTGATTCAGATTATTAATAAAAAAAAGATAGAACTAGCAGCAGGGGGGGGGCGAGCAGACTTTTTTTGTATTTTATAGAATTTTTGGTTAAGTTGAGTATATAAGTTAAAAGCTCTGAAATCGTCAAAGTCCATATTATCTTTTTATATAAAATACCTAGGAACACGTTCTAGAGGCTAGATTTTTTTAGTTAAAAATAACCCTTCCAGAGTCTCAAGAATGATAATTTAGTTTTCTGGTTAAATTAGCACTTGAGAGCTCCAAGAACAATAATTTAGTATTCTGGTTAAATCAGCACTTGAGAGCTTCAAGAACAATAATTTAGTATTCTGGTTAAATCAGTACTTGAAAGCTTCAAGAATAATAATTTAGTATTCTGGTTAATTGATACTTAAAAAGACCAAGAACTATGATTTGTTTTCTTGTCTAGCTGGAGTCTTCAAAAACTTAATTTTGATGACGAGCATTTTGCTTTTTATGATATATTTTCATTATATAGTAAGTCTTTGAAATCCATTATTGCTAACTATATGAGGGTGCAAAGCACCTGAAATGCGAAGTAAAGTGGAGTATCTAGTTACTATATTGCTTTCTTGTATAGTTTGAGTCTTCAAAATCTATTTCAATTATGAACAAATGAAGTGCAGTGAGTTATTGAGGAGCATTTTTAAGTCGAGCAATATATTGGAAAACATAAAACCCACCAACATGAGCCTGGCAATGGCCAGAAGCAGAGGCAGTAGGCTTTGTACAGAAAGTGCAAGGAACATGTTTTTTGGCTTTTTGATGGCCTTCTTATATACTTAAGTTAGACTATATAGAATAAAATTTAAATTTAAAGAAAAGAATATTTAAGGTAATATATATAAATCAGTTAACTATATATAAATATGAATCTTGTCCAAGATGTAGCAATACATTTGCAACAAACCAAAAATTCAAATATCATTTAACTAAAAGAAAGCACCCTTGTGCATCTCGAAATATATTACAAGCAACTGTGCCAGTTTCTAGCTCTGAACTCTTGTCTAATTTAGATTTGCAATTTCAAGTAGTAAAAGATCCCAATGCTAGAAAATCAGTCAAGTCTGTTAAACAATGGGAATCGAGATTATGAAAAAAAGTCAAAGAATTAGATAACAAGGATCATGGTCGCAAAAAAATTTGGCCAAAACCAAAGCTCTTTATGATGAATTATTGCAACTGGATCCAAATACATATTTCTAACCTGCAACAGAAGAAGAAAAGCATGACGAGCAAAGATTTTTTGATGAATCTGAAATTAAGGAAGCAAATCTTCAGCGTGAAACATCTCCAATAGTACAACCAAAAATTAATGAGTTAGAGACTCGAGGCTATACCTCTCCTTAAGCTGGTTCAGGCTCTCATACCCAAGCTCATCGTGAAAGTAGACTTACTAAATCAGAAGAAATAGTAACTCAACAAACCGCACCATTAGATAATATAGAATTGCAATCTGTTCAAGAATTGCTTATTTATGAAGAAGGATTTCTAGATTTAGATGTAGAAGTACTATAGCCAGTTCGATTTCCATATAATGAAGAGCATCGTATAATATGGCAAAATGGAATTCAAACCGTAAAGAATATATTTAAAGTAGATGGAGCTGAATATGCTTTCTCAACCTGGTTTACAGAAGCTAAAGAGATAGATTTGGCCAGTATAATATTAGGAGCAGAAAACGAAGATGAAGCTATGCAGAAGGTATATTTACAATGCCTATATTAGAATTATTCAGAAGAAGAAGAAATTAATGAAATCATAAAATTGGTAGTAGATACTTATAGAGCATCAGATAAAGGAAGTAAAGCCTGGTTAGAACATGTAGAACAAAAAATAGAATCAAAAAAATTTGAGGCTGGAATGACTAAAAAGCGGGCTCAAGAAATTTTAAATGCAATCGATAATGACGAGTTTTTAATAAGGGTAAAATTCATTCGAGATGATTTTGTATATAGAGATAAATCTTAAACAAAGATTGCTTTTAAAATTATTGATAAATATGAATCTATTCGTAACTCAAAAAAGGCAGGTGGAAAATACGTTAGGGGTGGTCCAAACGTTATATTTACAAAGAAAATGAAACCAGGATTTTGGATAGGAATAGATAAAAAATTTTTGGTTAGAGAAGTCAGTGAGCAATCTGAGGTAGGGAAGCTTGACAGTAATGTAGTAGTATATGGATTATATCGAATCTGAAAGCCAGATGTCAATCGATTAATACCTATGAAAGATGGAGCACTTAATTGTGTAGCTCAATGAGTAATAGAGCATTTTGATAACACTAAGCGAGGGCATGGACTCACAGAAATTTGTCAGCAAAAAATAAATAATTGGGGGAAAAAAATGCATATTCCAGGTGCTTGAGTACAAGATGTAGCAAAGTTAGAAAAAATTCTCAAGCAACAAATTATATTACTGGATATTACACATGGCACTATTTTTAATAGCAAAAAATATCGATCAGATAAGTATGAAGAAATAGAAATAGTAGTTCATAATAGGCATGCATTCCCTCGAAATCATCATTTTTCAAAGGATCGAATTGTTGAATATTATAAAGACGATACTTGGGAAGCTATCAATAATACTCTTCAAGGTCCTCAAGCAATCTGGCTTATAGGAGTAGGAGATGAAAATCAAAGAGTTTCTCAATTTGTTTTAGAAGACAGCCATGCATTTAGGACATGGATAAAGTATACAGATATTATAAAAGCATGTAAGGAATTATTTAAAGATGCAGTAAACTAGCAATTTCATGAAAATATAATTAATGAAGAAAAAAAATTGATTCTTTTAAAGTTTCTCAAAGTAGTAGACTTAGTAGAGCAAGTATTTGGTACAAACCATACTAGAAGTCGACTTGCCAATGAAATCAATAAATAGTGTCCAATATCTAGAAAAATAAATGATATTATAAGACAAGCTTGTATTAAGCATGGGCATGGTAGATGCTGGAATGCACCCAGTTATCACATTAATAATATTATATGTATTGATATGAAAGAATGCTATCTAGCAAGTATGCGAGGCCAAGAAGAATGTATACCATAGTTTAATCGATTTGGGTATCCAACACATCATCTTGTCCAAGTAGCAGTAAATGAAAAGTTACTAAAAGATGATATCACTGGATTTGTACAGATAAAATCTTTCAAATTTGCTTCTAATATACATCCAGTAATCCCAGTTTGGTATGGAAAACATTTTGCATGTTGAAGCGGAGATAGATGTGTAAAAAGTAAAGGATAGGTACTTATTGTATTTCTACAATATCTTCTTGAGACCGGTATTCTAGAAAGTGTAACTATTGGGGAAGCAATTATTTCTCTTACTAAACAAACAAAAGTATAGTTACCAAAAAATCAAAATATTAGTTATGCAATTATAGGTAAGTTTACACAAGGTGGCAAGATTGATGAAAAACAACTTACTTATCGACTTGTAACAGATAAAGGTGAGCTCGATTTCTTGGTCAAAGATTGTACTAATGCCGGAACTTTTGCTGGAAGAGAAAAATATCCACTCAGATTCATACTTATATATTACGAGGGACATCAACCTCAATATACACATTTGCGGGCCTTAATGTTAGCATATGCGCATATTAATTTGTTAAAGATGCTTTAGAGATTCGATTCCCAATACCTATTCTTTGGCCAGTATACAATATTAGCAACTGGTCTATATATTTTTTCACCCTTATCACGCCATTAACCAGGTTAAATTTCTTGAACCTCTTGTTCTTCTGGTTGATTTAACTGCTTCTAACAAGAATCTGATTTATAAAACTATTCCCCAAAGCAAAATCTGCAAACAAATGGTTTATGTCTTTTGCAATTATATTTTATTAAAGGTCTTTTTGTTTTT